GTTTATTTTAGGAAGAAATGCATGAAAAACTTTGAAAAAAAATTGMAAAATGTTCTGTTTGAATGCTATAATCTATTTTCTGACTTCTGATATTTTTGTAAGCATAGCCAATAGTGTCAATAAACTTCCTTAATTCATAGAGTTCTGCTATATGTGATAAGTGYAATAATTTGGCCCTCTGTCAGTCTTTAGTAAAGTCTACAATCATGTATTTGATAGATGAAAACTTGGAATGAATAGCAAGTTTTGTATACTGTTAGTTAAATATTAATTGATTACAAAATGGTGTTAGCATGTTGGCAATATCATATATTTACATATCATATTGTACTTATAACCAGTAATATCATTAGTTATTAGCAATTGGATTATTATTATACTCATTTTCTGTTATCTTGATTATCATTATTGTTACTATTACTATAATTATAATTACKATAATTATTGTTAAGAAAGTAATAACATTCGCACACAATTCTGTACTGCACACATATTGTACAGCACCAAATTTGATGATTTTTAATTACTACATTTCTCTTAAATAAAAATCTAGAATAGTACTAATAGTTAATACTAGTAGCACTGATTGAATTTTGATAAATTACAACCACTATTTTTTATAGTTTTTCAAGAGCATTTGGAGAAGAGATGAGGGAGGGGAGGGAGGGGATTGGATTCTTGGTGGAGGTTGATCAAGCATACTGTGTGATAACCCTAATGTCAACCTTATGACATTCTTGTCTGGCAGCCAATTACAACAAAGGTTGACTATACATAATACACGCTATAGGATGAATAAAGTTAAAACCAAAGATAAAAACAGTACATGGGATAATGTAAAGAAAAACCCTGAAATCATCAAACTCTACCATGAAAATAATAACAAAAAATATAGAATTAGGAGCAGATCATGGTTTGAGTGTAAGCTTACTAGTATTTGATAACAGCAAACATAGGTCTAGACAGGATATCACTTATAAATGCATAGGATTTTGGAAAATCGCCCAATTATCCCACTTTGCATAAAGAAATCATTCCTAAACATTGTTTTCAAGATTTTTAATATTCAGTGCAATAAAGAAATTTACCCAGTAAATATAATAATTTCTTTTTCCAAAGTTATATAAGTTTTCAAATCTTTTCTACAAACTTTTAGGGTTGTGTGATGATAAAATTTTTAGAGTCAAATTACCTCGAGTCTACATGATCTGTCTAGCCTCGTCTACTCGTAAAGGCGTAAAAAACCCTCAAGAAATCAAAGCATTTCGAAATCTTCATGAACTACATCAMATTSACAATGTACACAGGTCAACAAGGAAAGATCAACAGTAGAACAAGGCATTGAAATTCAASAAGCGACAAAATGGACAAATTTTCAATAAATTTGAGGAAATRTCTAYAGCATTCTCGAATATAATTCAAACCACAGCTATTGCAACAAATAGAAAGTTCGCCATTGCACCTTGCGTCCTGCAAATTGACGTATTTGAACTGACAATTTTCGCGCTAAAATTTCAAAATTTATCGAAGGGAATGACAACAAAAAATATCTTACTTCAAAATAAGAATAATACTCTTACATACCCGTCTATCGTAGACTGACAAACCCAGCCTAATCCACCCATTTCTTCAAATTTTCCACCAAAAACCATGTTCGCTTCGGTTTCACACTAGAGTTCCCGCGGTTCAAAATATCGGGAATTCACTTTGTTTTGAAGGATGAAAATATAACTTTCTCGRTCAGTAAGTTTACTACAGGCTTATCAGACCTGGTGCAAAGTTTGACTAGTAATAGAAGATACCTAGACTTGGAAAAAAGTCAAAAACTCGACCAAAATAGAGATCAAGAGGTCTTGGCTTGCTTGGCCATCTGCCAGTCTTCCTCAGTATGACCTCAATTTGAGGGGGGAGGGGAGGGTTACATCGGTGTTTCGAAAATATTTATTTTAATTTGCGAAAAGTAAAAAGGTCGTTGCCAAGAAATACAAGCTCATATGATAATAACCATTTGATAAAATATGCTGTTGTGGCATAGTAACCCTACACGTTGTAGCAAGTGGTTTAAAACTACTAAATGTTTGTGTTTTATAGAAAAAAAACTGAAAATGCATAAAACGACTGTGTAACGAAGGATCAGAACAAAGCATAAATTTGCCCGAACAGTTTACAAAGATTCATCTTTTATTACTAATACAGATAATAAGGACAGTCGATAATAAGGGTAATCTGAAATCCTTACCGTCCCCCTACTAAACGCAACATTTGCAACATGATGACGAGGCTGGTTATTTGTGCAATGTCCTGTAATCCAAGATGGCATCTGTTTCTATGTCGAGCACTAAGTAAATCCATAAAACTTCATATTATACCGCGATCTCAAGCAATTCGGCACTGATTTCAATACAATGGAGTAGCATGTGATTAAAGATGTTTATGCCGTTCAGTGGATTGAAGTCTGTACTTATATGATGAATGAAATTCGGCATATTTTTATCGTGTAAATCACAAAGACGTATTTTTAGTGACGGATTGTCATCGTTGTTTCTCAACGATCTACTGGATTTATATTGTATTCAATTCTTTACAAGTGATACTAAGAAATGGAGTACCCCAAAAACGGTAAAAAAGCAAAAAATGGAGTWCGACAAGACGAACAGCTACTCATTAACTATTCTGGAGGAGAACAACATACTGAATCGGACTCAGATCGAGTAAAACCACTCGARTTACCACCAACTCGACTTAGAAGGCCAAAATCAAGGTATAAAAGTTTGTTGTGTAATATATCTCTGTCTTTGAGGTCCTAGCAGTTTGTTAGGATAATACTGTATGAAGTATTGTGACTGACGTAAGAAAATAATGTAGATTTTATTACAGCAAGCTTCTAACTCTTAAGTTGTTTGAAATGTTGGCTTATTTCAGCTTATCACAATTGTTTGCAAGATCTGTTTTCATCGATTTTCTATTGTAATAAGTATTGAAATCTGACCAAAGCACAAAATCTTTATTATATTACCCAATTCACATTACATTGTCTAAATTCTGTAAATCAACCATTGCAATTATCAAAGAAGTCCTAAAATTATATCAAGGCTGARTATAACTTACTGGAGCGACAGTATTTATATTTTATTTAAATTATCCATGGTCTCTTGTCAAAAAGATGAATCAAACTTGCATTAATGTAGACACTGCAGGACCATYGTGATATGTAGAATTCATATATTCATGAACTGATAAGTAGTTATAGGTACATAATTTCTGCTTGTTATTTTTGACTCAAATATTTGTCTGAACCCATATTATATTAAGTAAAAATGATGTAAAACCTTTCTTTCTTTCACAGGAAAATCAGAGTGTCATCCTCTAACTCCAAGAGTGTATTTTCATTTTGGAATTTTTGTCAAGTTGTTTTTGTTATTGTTGTTATTGGTACTATGATAAGCATGGTRTGGTTCACAATTATACTCAAGACATCACTGGATAGCATGAAGAAAAGAGTGTCTATTTGTAAGTATATTACTTCCTTGTATCACTGGGRCAAAACAAATGAAACTGCACAATGTCATGTCTGTTTTGTCAGGGCTTTGTTTTTTSCMMMAAAAAGGTCAACCCCTTCCTTCCTATCCCCCTCACAAAAACAGCAACATCAAGAACAAACAARCACAAAAGAAAAATGTAAAAGGGTGACGTAAGTAATTCCTTCAAATACATTTTTCTACATTGACAAGCTTTCACACCCAAGGTTCATCAGTGATCATTGTCAATGTWTGTACAGTTGTTTCAGTTTGTGTTTGCTACCTTGTATCCTGAACACACCCTATCAAAAGACCCTTGATACACTTGATTCCATTCAACAACAATGCAACAGCAAGGACAAAATCTTTTTAAGCATTTAGTTGAAAACCGGGAATGGGACACTAGATTTGAGGGAGATGAGATTTATACTAACCACACAATGATAGTTAGAAGAGTGCAAAAATCGGTTATTAACTGGGTGAGACAGAATATATCCATAAATCGAAGGGGAAATGRTGATAGGTCATTGCTAATTGCATGGTGAAACTTTTGTCTGGATTAGAAATAGTTGACATTAAAAGTGTCAAAGCTCTGTAACGACCCTTAAAGCACCTTTAAGACTGGAAACTAGTCTAAAAGTAGAATTGTGATAGGAATTTGATCTAGCACATTCTATCACTATTAAATATTAATATTTTGTCCATTTCATTCGTCTTTATTTGTATGATTTTTTTAGTTTTTTTATTTAGTTGTAAAAATCACTTATGTTCTACCTGATGTAACGATAGCTAAAAAGTGCTTTTCCCTAAAATCAGAACGTTCGAACCGGAAGTAATAATTAAATGCTAACCGGAAGTGACTCGTGATTAGCCTCATCTGTGTGTACCAAGTCATTCGTTTCAATCAGTTATTTGTAAGATAAGCAAGGATAAAATCTAAACCAGCTGAAACAATTGGACTGTATGGACTAAATTACATCCCATTCATGGCGCTGTCCTCATGGGCAAGCATCGACTGAGGTATAAAATAATGAAATTCCCATCGAGACAAAACGGAACTTTGATCCCAGATCAAGACTCCGAGTCTGATGTACAAGAGTTCTCTCTACCCAAGAAACGAGTCGTTAAACCGTCAGGAAAAAATCCCTATGTCGCGAGGTAAATGTAGCAAGAAAATAACATATTCATAATTGGTTTTTCCTCGATAGTTTTTGTGATTTTTTGTGTTATAATTCACAGTATTTTGGTGTATTTTTGTAGACGACGACCTGGCTGTTGCAGGACTTGTGCCTCGATTATTTTGTCTCTTATTCTCATTGCATCTATTTTATGTGTCGTGGTTCTTGGCTGGTTCAGTTTACGTTTGAAAAGAGACTTAGATTTACTCAAAAGAAGGCTAGCAGAAGGTTTGTTATGGACGAATCAAATAGATTTTTTTTTCCTCTTGATATTTGATCTGGGAGGACAACAGAATGCGCGTCAGTGCGACAAACTGTTGATTCACTGATATTTCCTGAATAGATGTTAACACTTGCTATTTCTACACAAAACAGCAGAGCTACACAACCTTCAAGTCTTTTCAACTTGATTAATTCAACGTCCGCCCTCCTTTTGCTAAAAACCTCAATGCTCTCAAGTTTTGAACATCTTTCCTTGTGTGAGAGGACTAATTGTGTCAATTTCAAGTCCAAAACTCAGTAATCGGACGTAACAATGATGGCACTCGRCAAGATCCACTTCGACACGCGAAGGGTCTGTGTTTTAATTTAAAGTTTTTATTTTCGTATTTAATTCTTGGTTTTTCCTCACAGAAGTAATTAATTATTTACGACTAGTTCTGTATAGGTTCAACATTGAGTTTTCGTGATTTGTTTTTGTACCTGTTGTAGTACTTTGAATGAAAATTCAATTCATTTCTCGTTAGTGGGCTTTACAACAGAGCAATTTATCGCACTCTTTGTAGCTTTGTTGCTCGTTTCTTTTCGGACAATTCTGTTTCTGTGAGCTTTATTTGTGGTTTGGCAGCTGATAGAGAATGAACCTGAATGTTGAGACAATTTTATTATAGTTCCTATCGTAGGCACCAAATGGACAAGATATAGAGCAAATAAATCAAATTTTTCTATTATAATTTATCCTTATTGATGTTATACAATTTCAACTAGAAGAATTATGAACTATCTACCAAAAGTACGGATTTTATTCACAATAATTGTTTTGAAAATTAGAATAATCTAATGGCTAATGCGTTTAGTTTAGACGATTGGGTTTGAACCATATATGTATAACACTTCCAAATTTATTCTTATATATCAAGTTTCAGAGAACTTTAAAAGCGTCGTGGCTTTAACAAGAGTTTTAAGTGTTCATCATTTGATGAACTCGGTGAATCACAACCACAAACAGCTGCAACATGTTGTTTCTRATTCACTCTCGAAACCARGGGCTGTTTTACTACTCATMGTATCATGTCTAAAGATATCTAAACCTTCGATGGCAATTTTATTCATATTGCTCTACTTTATTACTACTATATCTAGATCTTATCTCTGTAGATAACAGGAAAAAAAAAATGTTAAGTGCTAAGACCAAATCGACGATGCAAAAATAAATTTTCAAAATGTAGAAATTTTATGGTTGGATCAGCTGTTTTGAAATGAGTTTATTTAGTAAAAATCTGAGATTACTGGAGATCACGAGAAGTTGTTCCACCTGCTTCAATAAACGAAATAGATCATAAAACGATTTTTAACGTGACATTTTTGTCGATTACCTCTCGTTCGCCAAGGTCCAGTACCTTAACAACATGAATAATAACTCCTAAGAAAATGCTTAGTAGGTTCAAAAAATTCTAATTTAAATCATCGTTAGTACAAATTAGTTGTTTCTTGGTCAACTTTTTAGTGCTGTTGTCCACATGAGACGCTGTGATGTTCAGTGGAGAGTGATTGGTAAACATTTATTAGACGCTAAAATTACTCATACGAAACATTATTGTATTTATTCTTGCTAATATCCCAATATCTTGAATGTTCTTAAGTCGGTAAAAATCATACTGTGATTAGTAAACATTGAAAAGACGCTAAAATTACTCATACGGAACGTTGTTATTTTTATTTTCCACGCACATTTTCATTCAATTTTGAACCAAGAATATTAGTTTTCCCATTTTATTTATTTTGTTGGGTCATCTGTTGGTCCATAATTGCCAGAGATTGCTTTAAAATGATTTTTTTTCCTAATTGTCTGTTATGGTGTAATTTTAACTTTTAATTTATTTTGTCCTTCTCTTTTTGTAATACTCTATCCCGAGGTTTGAATAAAATAAATATATTTTTCAAGACAATGAATTTAGTGCAAATAAAGATCTCCATGTGTGGTATATTTGTGCTTGACATTCAATTTGAATAAACATCAGTTATCTAACTATACACAAGATTAGCAGTGTAATATTATCCCTATTTCATCACACTCTTTCCTTAAAAACAATGTACCATTTTGTTTTCAAATAAATAAAGACAAGGAAATTACAGTGTTCCCTTGAAGTAAGCTGACAGACTTTTACCCTGATATTTGGTATTCTTGGCTGATACCATTTCAGTGAAGAGRGGAGCCTCTTCCGTGCAGTGYTCATATTGCATTGTTCTCTCGGGATATAGGGTGCAGTTKCGCATTTATTCTGTGCCTAATTCCCTGCCTCATTTTACGTAAAGTCAGTCAACAAATGAGACATGCTTATAAGGTTATTTTAAAACGTYCCTTTTTACTTATTTGCAGTGGAAACTTCTGATAGAAGCACATCAAAGGAATGTGCCAATAAAGGAGATGAACTCCAGAAGAAATTAGAAGCCTTAAGAGAGACTACAGCAGGTCTTGTGGCAACAGATGATAAGCAGTTTAAGTCRTTATTAAAAAGGGTATGTACATGAATAAATTACACATAAAAACAATTATCCAGATGTATAATAGATGGACTGACAGTCAGACACACGGTCAGCTGGAGAGACAGTCATACAAAAACTTTACTGACTTGTGGGGACTTTGGTCTAAACCATAGTTGTGGGGACATAAGGTTTTAAGAATGATTTCAAAATGATAAAGCCTAAAAAAAATCAAGATTCAATCCTCTATAAGTASACAGTCACCTTGAAATTGATCAAAAGCGACTTTTCAAGTTTTTGGAAGATTTTTGTGGGGACATAACAATCACAGATGTACAGACTATAGACAATCATGTGAGCTGTTAGTAGAGTATTTATTTTTTCAATTCAATTTCCCTTTTTTTTCAGTTTTCAATATTAAACAAAACAGTTGAKTCACTGCATAAAAGATTGAAATCTCCAAAAAGTGTGTCTTCAATTCATTCTGATATCAGTCTGCTAAAGAAAGCCATGGCTGACACAGGTCGAGAAATGACTGAAGTCACTGATAAAGTCACACAATTGAGAAGAATAGCACATCTACAAAACAATAATATCAAGCACCTGAAAGTGCAGATGTACAATGTTACTGTAAGTATAGCAATTTCACCACATTCCTAAGTGTTTTCCACTATATAATGATACTTGTTTTTCCTAAGGTCCAATTAGCCAAACTTGCCGGTAAACCAACTCCACGTCCAGTAATTAATACTGGTACACCMCCCTGGCTGCTTCGCATGCCTGCAGATAGCAACAGCCATTCAAAGCCAGAGGCATCTCTAGTRGAGATGGAGAAAGTCAGGAAAAATATCACATCTTATGTAAAAAAAGTAAGTCAAATAAAAAACAAAACACATTTTGATTGAAGTATTTGGCCTTGTTCAGGGCAGCCYTATTATGAAACAACTCATTCATCCTTCKATTCTTTCTTTTCCTATTCTTCCATTCATTTATATGCTCATTCATCCTTTCATCCCATATTCATWCATGTTATTATTTCAGGATATCAGTAAAATTGTAGCTTATGTCAAACGAGCCAATAAGTCAGTTCACAGTCATGTCCATAGCCTACAAGAAAAGCTGTCTACTTTAGTCAAACACTTCGCAAATCACAAGGTAGGTGCAGCAGTTTAAAGTGAGTGCGGTYATTTCTCTGTCATAAGTCAAAGAACTGGAACTGTTTATTGTAAAATGTTTAGTTGTGATTAGTTCTGGCGCCATTAAATTGATGATGTAACTAGTAATGATGGTGATTAAAACATGACAGAAACGATGATTATCATAATTACAGTAATAATGGCGAGTAAATTGAGCAACTCGTATCTTATTTTAGGCGTTAATGGAAACATTAATCAAGAAATCAAAGCAAGACATCACGGAGGGAAATGAAACGACTATCCATCATACAGATGACAGTATTGACTACGAAATCAGTAACCTGACACGCCTTCTGGATACTTTGACAGATCAGTTTGGCTCGCAAAACAAGAAATTTGARGAACTGGTATGATTTATATTGTTGCTCTTCAGATTCACTAGAAAAATCTATTATATACACATTGTCYCATCCTCGAGAACGCTGTAGCTGTCAAGTGTGGGCCGGGAGAGATTTTCCAACCTCTTCGGGCGACCGGTCAAAAGTCCCTGGATTCCTGAGGGTTGTATTTTCCCAAAAAAAAAGAATTTAGTAACTTACGCATATATAGACTACCCATGACAAGTATGAGCAATGCATTATCAATGCATAAGAGGTTTCGATAACTGATATGAATCAAGGATATTTTTTGTTTCTAGTCATTAGATGTTACAAGTATCAATCATACTTTACATGGATATATCTTGAGAAACTCCAAAACTACTCCTGCGTCTTGCAATTGTTCGTTGGAAAATGTTTGGAAAACATTGTCAAAAGATGAAGGCTTGATGAAWACATTGCAGTCTAAAACAGATGAACTTCAAAAATCAATAGAGCAGCTTCGTCAAAAGGGTAAGTGATTATATGAAAAAAACAATGTTGTGGTCTTTCTTTGTTTGCATTCCCACCGCGTATTTCCTAGAGCGTAATCTCAACTTCCTATCTCATATCTTCGAGGCCTTTCATTTGTAAACTGGTGGATATTGTTAGGGTTTGTTTCCTTTTCTTCAAGTCAGTCAGTTTTTCATAACTATATAAAAATCATTACGATGTAAGCGCTACTTCAACCTAAAAGTTATTTATTTACGTCGAGCTTTCGGCTCACCGAGCCATTATCAAGACTGAATGAAAAACGTTACAACCTACAACCATTTATTTGATCTATATAAAAATCGTTCCTTKTATAGAAACATCACCAACGTTAGCTACACCCGTCATAACAGCAAATGAAAATACAACACCAGCGAAACCAAAAAATGAGTCAGTAAAAACTACGACCAAACCAGAACATACCAAACGAGATATTCMAACAAGCACAGWACGACCAACAACATCAAMAGAAAAGTATTCAACGGTGAACCAAACAGATATAGGTAAGTTTTGTATGTTTTTAGTCAAACATCGAGGGTGTGTTTTTCGGAGATCGCCATTGTGTGGTTTTGGGACTTCCTGACAGCATTACGAGAATTGTATTTCGGTTGATTGTCATTGATAAAAATCTTTTTCTTCTTTTCCAGGTGAGGTTTCACAAACAACTAAAGCACATACARCACAAATAACAACTCCRTCATCGAAGACAGACAAACGAACAACAGACGAAGATGATGAYGATTTAAATTCATGGCCTGGTGGAGATGATATCGATGATCAAYCACTACCCAATGATTCACCATAGAGTCGTCCATGAATATGGTAGCGAAATCAGAGGACYATAATATTATTACTGGTTTTGATAGTGCCAGACTATGACATGAGATTTAAAATGTTTTATAAAGATTGGTTAATTAAGTTACCTTCACTGCGATGAATCATGGGAATTATGATATAAAAGAAATAATGAAGTACTTTACCTAAAGACTCGTTTTACAGTCGATATAGAAAAGAWGTCATCATGTGGTCTTGACGTGCTATGGTTACTGAATATGAATAAACTGATAGTATTACCGAGGCRCGATGTAACTGAGAGTAGTCATGACTGCAAGGAAAGATGGGTAATCGTGTATTACTGAAGACTGCTTGCTACAGTCAATTTAAGACTGTGCTTTAAGACTGCAATATAGGCACTGTTGATTAATGGTGCCTAAAATACTACAATGATCTCAATCTTGTAAATAGAAAGCTCATAATTAATGWCGTGATCCGACCATAAAGTTATATCATATTGTCTAACTGTTCGATGTGGGAAAAGACTGAAGCAAAACTAATTAATGAGCATGCGCTCTATCAAAAATAAGTCACATCTGAACTTGCGTGACGTGAGTGTCGCTTTGCATGATGGGAATGTACAGCGGCGGACTGATTCATTTACAAATTAAGGTCGGTTTTATATTCTTCGTAATTAAAAGACTTAGAAATGTTATCAAGAAAAGTGAAATAAATAAACGTATATGGATACAAACTTGCTGTATTTTGTGTATGGAGGTGTTCATAATTTAGAAGTATCTTCAAAGCCATTGGATCCATCAATTTTCACCAAGACGATGATCGCTGCCATGTTTTACAAAAGACGCTCTTGTATGAAGTACATTCTATATTTCGGACACCTAAAATGTCGCTCTATGTGATTGGTAAAATTCTGTAATGCGAACATTTTTAATATGGATAACTCAGAAAGACCCGTGTGCTAGATGAGAATAAAAATGTCATGAGAGATAGAAAATATGAATTAACACACTAAAAAACTGGAAAAGGCATTGTGTTACAGCTCAAGATATTGCGTTACAGCTCAAGGTATTGCGTTACAGATAAAGGTATTGCGTTACTGAATTTAAAACATCTTGAATGTCAATCCAGCTTCAGTGTAATATTATCTCGACGTGAAGGTAAAAATAATAAAGATATTAGTTGGGTTCATAGAAGTTGGGTTTATAGAAAGATGTCTTGATTAAATATGATAATATTCAGGTCTTAGGTATTAAAGTCTGCATCAGTRATCATGGRAGWTTTAGCAAAAAAAATATCGCTTTCGAAAGAGGTACCATTAAAACCGCTTGATGGTGAAACCTRTCGATATTTTATTGTTGATCGACGGAAACAGATTAATAATTGARCCAAGTCTAAACCAGGATTAGTGACTATTGTCTTCGCAKGTCTGGTATTAGCATTGCAAATTAGGATCATATTTCATAGTGGCTTCGACAATCTTCTAAGTCGGGTCTTAGATATTGAATATCCTTTCCTTGAACAAGTCATCTTTGACGCGGTATAGCAAGAGCATTTCTTCTAAACATACACTGGAGAACAAATTCACCGATTCTCGCACTCGATCAAGWCTTTTAGACCGSTCRTTCATCGACTAAAAACCGAAAGCGATTGGTCTTTGAAGGTAAATAATATTGGTTTTAGCTTCAGTTCATTCCGCGAAGTTCATTCTCCGTGGATTTAGCGTCAAAAATGTCTTATACTTCGTCTGCTGCTGCTTCACTCAAGTCAAAACGTAARCCAAACTTCACCGAAGTGGAAAACTTATTTCTAATCGAGGAATTCGAGAGAAATAAAGAAGTTCTTCGCTCTAAAGTCAACAGTACCGAGATCAATCGACAAAAGTTGGATGTATGGCAGAGGATTTGTGATAAACTAAATGGAACGAACCCCATCGTGAAAAGGAGTGTCGATGAGGTGAGAAGAAAGTGGAAAAACATGGTGACTTCCGCAAGAAAGGAGACAACAACTTTTAATCCAAGTCGCCCTCCGTCACAAGTAAGCCAAAGGATTATGAGAGGATATAACGAGCCCGAATGTTCTAATAGCCTCGTGGTATCACCCCTTGGTAGTGAGTCGAGTAACTCTGGGGGTATGGGTGTGGATGTGATAGTCCAACAAGAGAATTCAGACACGGTAAAAGAAGAAATACCTCACTCAAATACAACAATCGATTTGAATGAAGTTGGTCCGACAATAGCTGAAGTCCGAGCTGCCGTCGGATGTGGSATGGAAGTTGTTGAACCTGGTCCACCAGCAGCCGCTTTGACGGACCATTCAAGACAGAGCATGCGTGTACARACCACCTCTAGAATGAACCAATTTCGACCGAAGAGAAACAATGTGCAGTCGATAATAATCAATGCCAAGAAGAGAAAACTCCAAGCAAGTCAAAGCATGTGCAGCACATCATCATCGCTTGACATACARCAATTACAGAAGGAAAAGCTCACGCTGGAAAAGGAAAAGATAGTCCTTGAAAAAGAAAAACTTRTGCTTGAAAAAGAAAAACTAATGTTAGAGATTCAGTGCTTGAGAAGTCAACTTAATGGCGACGAGTCCGAGTATTAAAAAAAATACTAAAAGGCATTCTCGCAGGGTTTTACATGTAATTGAGACACTTATCATATCCATCAAGAGCCAGACAATAGTCGAAAAATTCACAATCAGTTCCCTTATTCGCATTAGAGTTTAGGAAGGTTTTATTGATAATTTTTGCTGTACTCATTTAGCTCTCTTCTTATTGAAACRAGCATTTGGACTAAACAAGACATTCACCCGGTGTTAACTCTCAGAATCTGATACTGCATTAGCCTTCTTGGAGCTCAGCCTTACTAGTGCCGTTATACCATGAAGACGACGACCACTGGYCATTAGACTATCAGTACTGCAGTCGCTAGCATCTGATAAACGCTTCTTTGTAAGATCACGTGCCTCGGYGTTTTGGATGTCTTTAATTTGTGGACTAATAGAATAAAGGAGCATTTTAGCCAACAAAGACAACCTTCATAACGCGCGCCATGATTGGCTAAAGAAATGTCTTATGCACTCTTGCTTATACAGCYATTTGAGGRAAAAGAGACGTTGAGTACTGCACACCGTGATTCCAATACCGAAATGTATCGTTGTGAAATTGGATTCCATGTAAGTGGCGTTAYAAATTGACAATTCTAAGCAAAATTGCTTTCTATCGAAGGTACAGAGCTGGAACAGTCACTCTGTGAAATACACTTTAAGCAACTAGTCAGCCAATCTTGCATTCGGAATACACTATCTTTAGTAATTAATGTTTTTTCTCAAATAGCTGTATACAACGCAGTATAACTAACTATATATTGCGTGGTTATCYCTTTAGGTTGATTGTTATGGAAGGGGAGGATTAGCGCACCAATCACCTSTTTCCCTCTCAAGTACTAAGTATGCAGGCTAAGCTGAACGTAGAGTTATCAATAACCTCTTGGTTCCTTCCTACCTTATAACTCCAGTACGGTTGTCCGGTTTTTGAAATTCACGTMGTCTGTCGACGTCATTAGTGGAAACCATCACGTCATCTTTACCGCTGATCCTTTGCGGACTCAAAATCACGTGATTTCGCTTTAGGGACTGAATTTTGTCATCAGCTTTTCCTGTATTTTTTATCAAAGTTTTGTATCGATCGCCCTCTGTGTTGATGTACGTGGACCATGTCCTGTACGGTGGTGTKGTTCCTTTGTTTTTTCCAAAATAGCTGTTAAACGACTCAGAGAGACCCTTAGAGGAGCTCTTTTCTGCCTTATGTGGAAAGGATTTTGACTTTATTGGAGATTTTGCGTAAGTTATTTCTGCACCCTTTTCAATTGAATCGTCAGAATTGTCTTTCTCGATTTCAAGACTCATATTTTCAAAATATTGTCTTTTTAAAAGCTTAAGTTGTTCTTCAAGAAAGTCAATCTTTAATCTCGCTTTTTCACGCTCTTTTTTCCAAGATTTTGTCGCGAGAGGTTTGAATGGAAGCTCCCATTTGATTGGATCGAAAATGGTTTCCTTTGGCAATATCATTACGTCATCACTAGTGCCATAATGAAACGTCTGTCCATCGAGAATATCAATTTTTCTTGGTTTGTCYAAATTGTGTGTTTTATCACTTTTATAATAAAGCTTGGAGCAATGTTTAGGCCATACTTTGTCTATATCGTCTATGTTTTTATCATCGTAATCATCAAGGAAATATCCACTTTCCAGGAATCGTTCCTGTTGTCCAGGTTGATGACTTCTTGGACGACTCGATTTTGTAAGCTGATAACCGGTACCCTGGGCTTGTTTCGTGGGCATTCTARAATGCACGGTTACGTTTCCKGTTGAAGTTCGCATTTCGCACTCAGCATCGCCTCTTTCGGTTGTTTTAAAACTATCATGACCATTTCTTGACAGATAGTTCGTGGACATCAGATCGTGAGCCTTGATTTCTTTTAGATTTTCACCTACTTCCACTAGTTGTGTGACTTTGTTATTGGTTATTTCGTTGTGTTTTTGGTCAAGAAATATCTTATGAAGTTCTTGTAAATACAAAGGTAGTTTATTTGAATTGTCGAGTTTTACAATATCGTAAGGTTCTAGCTTGATGGTTGTTCCCAGTTCCTCTTCGCTGAATGTTAAGGCGAGGCTGATTTTCTCCGAGGGAAGCCCGTGTTCTAGAACCTTAAACAAAACATCGTATATATTCACATCCCTCCGATTAAACAAAACATCGTATATATTCACATCC